TTAGGAAAGGTGTACTGGCAGACAGTTTTGCATGCTGTACTTTGGGAGTGTGGGAAGAAAGAAATAACCGGCTGTTTGAGAACAAAGCTAAGTCAAAGAGTGATCTGTTATCTCACATTAACCACCTTTGTAATCTGTGGGCCTCCAGCACAGATAAGTTCAAAGGACTCTCTGTAAATGACCTCAACAAGGATGCTGGTAATTTCCTGTTCTCCCCTCCCTCCCCACCCACCTACAGGAGTCCAATTCTCATAAGGCAAGGCCTTTGGACTCTAAGTTTTGATGGAAGTGCTTTAGGCAACCCTGGTGCTGCTGGCATAGGAGGAGTTCTAAGGGATGAAAATGGGAATATCTGCTGGGTGTATAGTGGGCCAATAGGTATAGCAGATTCTACCAAGGCAGAAGTGTTGGCTGCACTTACAGGGATCAGAATAATTAACAGATTAGGTATTCGGAACCTCTCCATTGAAGGCGATTCAGCAAACACTATAAAATGGTTAGGAAAACAAGAGACCGGGCTGTGGTTCACTTTCTGAAGGAGGCAAGGGATTTACTGTCTGCTTCTAATGCAAACCTGATTTGGATTCCAAGGGAATTTAATGCAATTGCAGATGGACTAGCAAAATTAGGTGCTCTGTTAGAAGATTTGTACTCTGATAAGTTTCCTCCTGTACAATTCCTAAGGATCTGATCCCTGCTTTTGTTTTTCTTTTCTTCATATTTGTACACCTTGTGTACCCTTCTCCTTTCTTAATGAATTCAGTTACCTTTCTCTCTCAAAAAAAAGTACACTATTTAGTTCAGAATCCCCAATGCCCCTTCTAAAGCCCATCGTTGTCAGACCCAAATGTTAAATTTGAAGGAACCAGGAAAGTGGATACAGGCTCATTTCTAAGGTAAGAAAGTGCAAATACTTGGGGAAATTGGTCCTTAAGAGGGGACATCCCCACCCACTCATGTTTCTAAAATTCAATTCGACCCCTAGCATAAAGGTTGTATCTGAAAGGAAGGAAAAGAGGTAAAATGGCATTAATGATCTTCCAAGGAGAAGCTCGAGGTGCCCTACCCAGAATTCCAGCATCGCATCCATTATCCAAAAGCCCATGAATGCTCACCACCACCTTTGCTCACAACTTATCCCTTTCTTGAGGCAACCTCCACAGCCACTTCCCCAACAAAGCTAAATTCTCCTTTTGAATATTCCCTACTCCAAGCCAACCAAAACTTTTGCTCCTACTGACAATACCCAATTAACCCTATGGTCCTTATTCCCTTCCCCGGACTCCCATATAAAAAGTTCATCTTCTCAAATCTCCTACCCACGCCTTCCAACATCTTAAATGCTCAACATCAACACCAAGTAGGCATGGTAGTTTCACCACCTACTTTTTCTATTTGGTTGGGGAATTTATAAAAATAAACGCCTACTTTAAACACCTCAGTTTAGGTGGAAACTAGCATTGCAAGAAACACTATTTTGATGTTTCTTGCAATGGTACCACCATTTTTTACCTTTTTGTCTATGTGGCACCAATGGCACCAACTGGCTTGAATAAATAATAAAAAATGTGCACATAAACTGATATTTACTTTAATGATTTCAAGGCATAAACGTCTCATGAAAAAACACCGACGGTACATAACACCCTCATAATCTGTTACCTCACCTTCCAAATTGGTTCATGCTATGCAACTCTTATCAAAATCCACCTTCAAATTTGACATCTTCTCAACAAGTTGAACAATTCATTTCAGATTTCTAAGCTATCTCAAGTTGCTCCCTAGCCCCTCCACAGAACATAAATTTTATCATCTACAAATTGCAAATAGGTAATTGGGACTCCATCTCTACCCACTCTCCACCCCTTACAAAATGTTTCTTTTCGTTTTTCTAATTTAATAGCTATGACTTATACTCCTACCAACCTCAACTAGATACAGTGTAATTCCTCATTAACAAAATCCTAAGGACAACAAGCCACTTATCGCCAAAAGAGATAAATATAGGAAATAAGAAGTGTTTCATGAGAGTTCAATTATGGGAATGAGTTGTTAGAAATAAGTATGCAATCTTACCAATTCACTATATGGTAGTTTGGGCCCATTGTCAAAGTAAACAAACCACCATACAAATCCAGCAATAGTGGCAAGACCGACATAAGCTGAAAAAAACATAAAAATATAATCATTACCTTGATAGTTAGGCAATAAAGCATAAATAGAAATCATGGCATGTGCCATAAGGGCTATGCATTGAGACATTTAAGAGAACAAAAAAAAGGCATAACTAGTAGTTTTAAATAATTTCTGCAAAATTTCTTCCCAATCTTGTTATAAATAGCATATATTTGAATTAGAAACGAAATCACTGTAAGGGTCATCCATCAAGTCTAGACAAGATAGGAGTTAAAGGACTTCATCATGGATGACATCATTTATTGGTGGCACGTAGTTGCCTACTCTTTTACACGAAAAGATATAACCCCTCAGCATTGGCTTCTCCCTAACAACAGCTGTTGTTGGGGGAACCCAGGTAGATCAGATACTGGACTACCATTTCTCTATGGTAAGGTGATAACAAATGGAAGCAGTGACTATGTCTTAGTCATGGCTAATTAGAATATCTATAGATGTTTTCACCAAGACAATCAGCTCTAGTCAACTGGATTTCATTTCTTACAAACTTGGTAACAATTATACTTAAGCTCCAGCTTGTGAAGGATAGAGGTTGTCTGTATCAAAAAAAAAAAATGTATTACTTTATGCAGTATGCATGGTGTATGATATATGATGCACCCATACCATACACTATCATATGCCATTCAACGGTCAAATATCCTTTTTGTTTTTGTTAGTAAATTAAGAGGGCAGTGAGTGAGAATAGCTCCAGCTCATGGTTACTCATTTTTTCATTACTAGTTTTCTGGTTCTCTTTTATCTACTTTCAGGTTTTTAATTTTTATTCTCTTCTTCTAAGCAATTTATTAACCCATGACATTTCCCATTCCTTATTTGCGTTTCTTTCTTTCTTCCTGCCCCCTCCCCCCTACACCATACTTTTTGACTAGTATATGGATACCATATCTCTTTCAAAAAAAAAAAAAGAGATCTTATAGAAATATTGATGCAACAAATATATAATAATTTTATAGCTTACCTCCAATAACCAAATAACGGAAAAACAGCCACCCTGTCACAACAGCCTCACTGACCTACATTTTTTCAAGGGAAAAAAAAGGAAGGTTAACATGAAGATAAACCATTTCCTAAATTTAAACATAACTCAATGCAATTTATCAAAAAAAAAAAAAACAAAAAAAAACCACAACTCAATGCATCAAATAAATTTTAAGCTTCACAACCAACCCTACACTGTGGGACAGTGTTTACAACCTGCCGTTGACCTGGATGGTTGAACCTTCACCCAGCTCCTTTTCCAAGTCCAGGTTACCTAAAACCCGTAAGTTTGTCAAAAAACCATTGACTTGGTCAAAGGACGGCTGACCCATTTGGTTGAACAGTTGACCCATTTGACCCGATCACCAAGTCACAGGTTGTACACTAAAATGTATTGAAAATTTCCAGAGGCCATAACTTTGTGCTCGACTGTCCAATTGGGGCGATTTTTTTTTTTGGTAACTTTTCAAGATCTGCATATCATGGTCTTACCCAAAAACAGTCAAACCATTGACCCACATTAAGTATTGTTAAAACAATACTTTGGGGTCATTTCTTGTCCTTCATTAAGTATTGTTAAAAGTAAACACATTTGTCTAACCAAAAAAAGAGTAACTTTTAAACTTAGTCCATTAACAACTAAATCAATTATTTGGATTTCATTAAGGGTGTGAATGCTGCAGGGTTTTCTTGCTGAAAGAGTAGTCCTTGGTTGAAAATGAGGAAACTTCAGGGATATATTTCAAGGATTGATATTTAGAGAAACCTAGGGAATGAGCAAATCTAGTGGAAAGGTTAGCTCAAAAAGGGAAATTTCCAATTGAACTATCAGGATTGTTAAATGAACCATAGTTACACACTTAGAACTCACAGAAAAAAAAAAGAAAGGAAAAACTTGAGACTTAAATATCCATGGATAACAATAAATATGGACTTGGGTGGAAGTAAGAGGAAATGATTTAAGTTCCCATAATTTGACAATAGATCATAGTTTTCAAGGCGCCAAGGCGAGGCTAGGCGACAGGGGGGGGGGCGCCTAGGCGATGGATTTTTTTTTAAGTAAAAACATGTATCCTAGGGTCGTTCCCTAGGTTCCATAATTATAATACCATAATAAATACCCATAATTTTCATAAGAAAATTATAAACTTCATGTTAAAGTATAGAAAATCAACATATTCCAACATATTCATGAGAAGAAAAAGAAGAAAGAAAAGAAAACTCAAAAAATATAGGGGCTGAACCCCTATTCCTGTTATAGGAAAAGAAGAAAAGAAAAGGTGGAAGAAGAAGAAGAAGAAATTAGTATGTAAACACACAAAATTAGTAAAGAAAAAGAAGAAAATGTGTTGATTGGACAACATTTTATGTTCTTCTTTACTTATTGGTTCAGGTTTTGAAGTCTTTGAGGGTTCAATACAGCATTTAGCAATGTTTGTGTTGATTAAACCCTAACAAATAAGAAAATAATAACAAGAAATTAGTATATAAATACATAAAATGAATATTTTAGTTTAAAAATGTCTATTTTATAATTATAACCTCAAAAAACAAAGAATATAAAAGTTTTTTATACCACGCTATAGAGAACTGCTTGGCGATTAGGCGAGGCGCGCCTCCAAGGGTGCCTTGTCGCCTAGGCGCCTGCCTAGGTGTCGCCTTGACAACTATGCAATAGATATGGCACTGAACAGAACGGAATGGCCAGATAGGATTTATGTAGCTGAACCCATATAGTTGGGACGAGGTTTAGATCCAAATTAAGTTTTAAACAACTGCTCGCTAAGATTTATGATTGGTACACTTCAGCAACTGCTCCATCATGGTCCCTCTCCCTCAAAACCACATAAACCAAATCTTGTTTTACAAATTTAGTAATTATTTTGTATATTGACAACCAAAATATAAAATTATTAACACAATTTCATCAACTTAATCATGTATAAATGGATAGGAAGGGCCATGACACATGTAGTTATGTGAATTAGTGTTTAGGAAATCGGACTAGACTGGTCAGTCGGACTAGTTGAACTGTGACCCAGGACCCTAGCCGGTTCAGTCACACCCCAATAACTGTATTTTCTAAAAACCCAGTGAAAACTGGCTGACCGGCCGGTTTAACCAAAAAAAACGGTGAGCTGGTCCTAATTTCATGAAACCACCTGGGTCCTTAAATAATTGACATTTTAAAATGTGTTTAACAAGACTTGAACCCATGACCTCTTATTTTCATATATTGCTTAATTACCACCAGTCCACCTCTTTACTTATGTTAATTAATGACTCATTATTGTACATATTACTTTATTACGCACTTGTTTTAAGGAAAATGCAAAATAAGAGACTTGAACCCTAGTCATTTGCTTTAAAAATTAAAGAACTTGCCATCCATCCACCATATTTTAATATATTAAATGTTGTAAAGACTTGAACCCTAGTCATCACGGTTCGACCTCTGATTTGACCCCAGTTGAACCTCTGACCCGTGAACCTCTCCCTTCTCCAATCCTATGCCCGGTCTGGTTTTCTGAACATTGATGTGAATTTAGAACAACGAACGAGGAATCTTTGTGAACAAGGGACATGACTCAGAAGATAGTTGCAGGAAATCCTGCAATCTTTTCATGATTCTAATATATCCACCCTCCCCCAACAACTGATTGGATCAGAATTGTATAGTAGCAGCTCTTCTTGAAAGCCTGGACCAGCTGAGACTGGTGAGGCCTTTCCAAGATAGATGGAAGCATATAACAAACTTTCCACCTAGTGGGGACAGATTACATGGAGGCATAGGACTTTCCTTATGGGTGCACACTTAACTAAACAACTTCAGCTTTCATCCTTGTTAATTGAGAGTGATTCCAGAAAAGCAATGATATCAGCCAAAGCGTGGTAAGAGGCTTTGGAGATTGGGTCATCCTACAAGGGAATAAGAAAAATCCAGGCTCTTTTTGAATGCCCAAGTTAGACGGACCTTAAATTTTGAATTGGATACTGATATGCTTTTCAGGTCAGAAATAGGAATTCTTTTCTTTTCTTTTTCCATTTTTTAATTACAACACTTTATCTGTGTTAGAGTGAGCCGAATAGGGGTAGTTTAGTAATCTCATGTCAGTTAAGTACTTTGCTTATGTGGCTGTTTTATTAGAGTACTCTGCCC